GATGACGAGCAGAAGAAGTTAGAAGCCCATAAGAAGTCGTTGAATAAGACGGTTAAGCGTATGCGGAGTATGTTGAACCTTGTAGTGGAGACCATAGCCAGTGCTGAGGTAGGCTGGAGTGGGCATATTTGAGCCATCCCATCGACGACGACTCAGATCGAAGACGTCATCCTTGCGGAGCAGGAAACCAATTTAGACGCAGCTTCGGAGTGCAATGCATACATCACTTACGCGAGGTGTCTCCTACAACGGGAAGAGGGAGAGGCTGAACGGGTAGGCTTTCAGTTAGTCCTATTGGCCTGGACGACAGTTCTTTTCTTGTGATAGAGACTCTTGGACGCGGAACTCTCGGACGCGGAACTCTCGGATGCTGCCTCGGACACTAGCCGGCCGGGCATGATACGTTCGGACACGGGCCGTTCGGACAGGAGTTCACCGGAAATGCTACGCTCAGACACGAGCCGTACGGACTCGAGCCGGCCGGACATGCTACGCTCGGACACGGGCCGTTCGGACAGGAGTTCACCGGAAATGCTACGCTCAGACACGGGCCGTACGGACTCGAGCCGGCCGGACATGCTACGCTCGGACACGGGCCGTTCGGACAGGAGTTCACCGGACATGCTACGCTCAGACACGAGCCGTACGGACTCGAGCCGGCCGGACATGCTACGATCGGACACGGGCCGTACGGACTCGAGCCGGCCGGACATGCTACGATCGGACACGGGCCGTACGGACTCGAGCCAGCCGGACATGCTACGATCGGACACGGGCCGTACGGACTCGAGCCGGCCGGACATGCTACGCTCAGACACGGGCCGTTCGGACAGGAGCTCACCGGAAATGCTACGATCGGACACGGGCCGTTCGGACAGGAGCTCACCGGAAATGCTACGATCGGACACGGGCCGTTCGGACAGGAGCTCACCGGACATGATGAGGCCGGACACGGACCGCTTGGATGCGGGGACATTCAGCCCGACTTCGGGTCCTAACGGTGTCGATTCGGAAGGCGAGCAATCCAATCCTAGTGCCGAGACGCATTCCAAAGTGCCGCCCAACGTCTGGCTGGCTAACAAAGATGCTCTACAAGACTGCGAATCTTCGCAGAACCAGTTGGAAGAGGTAGTAGTCAATGAGTCGCTAGAGTCCTCCCCCCAATGGGGTCCTGTCATCAGGCCACCCGCGAATTCGGCAGTCTCTCTGCAGCTGTGCACCGCAGGGGTGTCGCGTTGACTAAGAAAATACAGAGTTACCTCTGGGAGGACTCCGAGGTTCCACCGGATGTAGGCGACTTGAAGCTCTCGTTCTTTTAGAGGAATGCATCTCAGGATCCTCTGGCCCA